AACCAACTGTATGCTTTTGTCTGGGTGCTCTCTAGATCAATGCCTCTTGTGTCTGGACTACAGCAGGGCAGGAATCTGATGGCTGATCGTATGTTGTGGGGAACTGTGTAAACAGCAGTCCTGCAGAAGTGGTAAAGATTGGGGTAGCCCTTTGAGCATTGTGATAGAATAGCACATTTTGTGAAGATGCTTGTTTAATTCTCACCACGGCTGGCAGTGCTGCTGGGAGATGAAGTAGTGAGTTTCTTTAGATTGAATCCAGTTAGTAGGATCTTTACTGTTTTGGAGTGGGGAGCATCAATTTACAACACTGAAACGTGCAAACGTTTCTTAGGAATGGTGAATTTTTATAAGGTGGGCTGCGAGGCACCCCAACATGCTGCTGCTGCTGAAAGGAGTTACCTTGCTCCTACCACGTCCTTGATCTTAACTAGCCACTTATTTTACTTCTTGTTTTGGTGGGTTGAATCAGCTCAACAACAGAATTAAGTACTTGCTTTCTTTTTCATGCTGGCTCAGGCAGCTAAATCCACCCAAAAAGAGGGTAAGGCAAGTGGGTGAGACAGGTAGCGGAATCACAGAATCATTTAAGTTGGAAAAGACCCTTAAGATTACCAAGTCCAACCATCCACCTAATGCTACTAAGTCCACCACTAAACCGTGTCCTTAAGCATCACATCCACATGTCTCTTAATACCTCCAGGGATGAGGACTCCACCACTTCCCTGGGCAGCCTGTTCCAATGCTTGATCATCCTCTCCGTGAAGACATTTTTCCTGAGATCCAATCTAGAGTTCCCCTGGTGCAACTTGAGGCCATTTGCTTACTTTCTATCACTTGTTACCTAAGAAAAGTGACTCACACCCTCCTCACTGCAATCTCCTTTCAGGTAGTTGTAGAGAGCAATGAGGTCTCCCCTGAGTCTCCTCTTCTCCAGACTAAACAACCCCAGCTCCCTCAGCCACTCCTCATAGGATCTGTTTTATATGAAGTGTGTGGCCAACGTCTAGACCAAAGTAGGAAAGGGTGACTTGTTGAAGAGCACAGATTTAAAGTGCTAAGTTGGATGCCCATCTGTCTGATGGAATTTCAGGAAGCCCTGTATTGCTGAGGAGTTATTTTTAAGGTGCCAGGCTCAAAGTTATTTTGCATGTCTTTTCTTCCAGTTCCTTAATCACCTAATACTAATGTTCCATTTGGCTTTGAGGAGCTGCAGCTTTAGCACTCATTTAAGTAAAGGCAAGGTATTGCCCAGAGAAGCTGTGGCTGCCCCATCCCTGGAGGTGCTCAAGGCCAGGCTGGATGGGGCTTTGGGCAACCTGGTGTGGTGGGAGGTGTCCCCGCACATGGCAGGGGGTTGGAGCTGGGTGGGCTTTAAGGTCCCTTCCAACCCAAACCATTCTGTGGTTCTGTGATACGCAGCTAAGAAGGCTGGCACTATGAATTTATCTCTTTGTTGTTATTACTCCTAAGTTATAGCTACCATTTCTCTTTGTTTTTGAAGTAAAGTTAGCTCACAAGGAGTTCATTTGACATTAATTCAACAGTGTTTGTATACTTGTTATATATTATTGTAAGGTAAGAAAGGTGGAGTGTGTCCCAGTAGATACCATTTTATGTAAGCAGCTTTGCTGTAACTCTGATACTGAAAATCCATTCCGGAGTCTTTGGAGATTAGTGATGGTGTAAATTTCTCTGAGAGCATGTACCTCATTGTTAAATGTCATGCGGAATTGCTTTTTTTTAATTATCAATTCCTCTATACCTTATTACAGGAATGCCTGCAGACATATTTTTTTTTTTTTGTATCAAGCAGACATCAGCTTAAGTGTATGTTAGAGCTGAAGTTTGTTACAATGAACTTTAAAAAACTACTTTTTCCCATTTTTGCCATTTTTCAGTAAAAAGCATTGCTAACTTGTCTAAATCATTTTCTTTGCATGTTCTACCACAGACAGCTGTCATGAAAATGCGTTTGCTTCTCTGGTAAAGAGTGTCATTGGAGCACTGACTCTCAGGCTGCAATTGCTATTTTGAGCATTAAATTACAATGTTGAAGTCACGTGTAATAGAGTTGTGGCAAAAAGCTTTTAATATTGTCTAAATGGTAGGCTGAGAAATTTCAAAGTATTGTGAGTTCCTATTTCAGCAAAAATACTATTACTTTTTTCAGATCTGTTTGTTACTAAACAATTGCATTTCTTAAATATGTTTTTAAAATACATAATATATGGCAAAATGTAAACTGAAACTGCACCTTTTTTTTTCTTCCGCCTTGAGTGTGTTGTGTGTGCTTTAGAACAAGTTACTAGCAAATGCCTCTGTAAAGAAGAGAAGTCTCTGTCCATGCTGGTTCTCAAACTTTCGCTGTGTGCCAAATGGTTTTACAGTTGGGAAAACTCTTCAAAAGGGCATGTAGGCGGACTAAAAGAGGAGGAATAAGATAAAAATAAAGAAAATGAGTAGACAATTTGTTTTATTACATGCAAAGAGACATAATACTGGGTATACCCTAAGCAGGGAAATTTCAGCTATGTCATCACATTATAGTGTTTCGTAGGGGTAGTATTTTCTTCAAATTAGTTGCCTGAAGAGTGAAGAATAATAAATTTTATTATTTTGAATAATAATAATAATGATCTGAATAATAAAGTTTATCATTCTGCATTCGGGAGCCCACCATTTCCCTTTTTGTTTCAGACCTTTCTTTAGAAAATCCGAATCCTTAGAAAACTAGTTTCACTGAACTGCCCCAAACCTTTACTTTTCCAACATATAGAAATGTTGTGGTTGTATTTATTAGGAACTATTGAATGCTACTATTGAATTAAATGACACTTCCAGGTATGCTAAATCACCAGCCTGAACCAATGTTTGCATTCATCGTTATTTTGACATGCAACAATTTCAGTGCAATAGCAGCTGGTGGTTCCTCTGGATTATCCACTTTTCTTCTCCCATGATTTGGTGGATGTATTTCTGCTGTTCTGGCAGTCTAAAGTGAATCCTCTCCAGTAAGATTTTGCTTCCTGAATCAGAATTAATGGTGAGGAGAAGAAATAAATGTGCTGGCCTCAGTTTTCTTCCTCATTTCTGCAGTTCTTCCACAGCTCTTAGTGTGCCATTGTAGCCTAGGGAAGATTTTGTCAGGGTTATCCTGAAAGGGTTGTCAGATATACAAGGAGTTAGGGAACAGCAACATGCTTGAATCTGTAGTAAAGCTGATTTCTACAGACAGCAGCACTGACTCAGCTGGGAGAGGTGGCTGGTGAGCAAGAGGGGAGCTCCTCTAACACCAAAGCTGGAGAAGTTCACTCCTTGACTTCTGGATCTCAGCCTTCCCTGGGCCATCTGGTGGTCATTTCTGCAGGGCTGGTAACGGCAGCACAAGGTCCGTTATATTCAATACTGAATTTTTTTGGAACTGGTGCTCACGTCTGATGTGTTATTCCCCACCCCATTCAAAACAATTAAAAATAGGATAGTATTTTGTACCTCATTGGTACGGGGTTTCATGGTTTAGAGAACTTTCTCTCTAAAAAACACTTTCAAAAGCTCCCTTTCAAAAGGAAGAAAGTCAGGATTTAAAACACATCTTGTGATGAGTATAACTAGATGAGTTACATTTAAGAAAATAATCTCTCCAATCCTAAACCTTTTTTTTTCTTTTTCTAGCATTCCATCTCTTTGGGGGGAAAGGAAGCATATTTTAGAGTAGGGAATGCATCATGAGCAAAATTCAGGGCAAAATTCGTCTTGGCTAACAAAACATCTCTGGATAAGCCATAGCATCCCTTATTGAAGATACGCTGATTTGTAAAAGGGGAAGTCAGATTTCATTACTCAGAGGAAAGCACCGTGTAGACTTAAATACCACAATTTGGAGGAGATCCCATTTGTTAGAAGGATGTCTCATCTGGATGCTGTTTTGGGGCAATAAAATTTGTGTGCTTTCCAACAAGGTATTTTCTGAGGCCCACAGTGCTTTTTGCAGCGATATCAAGGCACTGGGGCCTTTGAATCCAGTTCTGGTAAGAGGCTTTGTGGCTACACAGAGGCCTAGAAGGCTGCTGAGCTGCTTTCAACCCAGCAAATTGAGCAGGTTGGCTTTGTGGGGCTGTTGTGAAGGAATTTCTCTTGTGCTAACAATGAATAAATTAAAGAATGAGTAAAGGGTAAGGATAGGTCTCTGCAGGTGACCTTAATTCCCAACTTGCCTGCCATTGTGTCTGGCTTTCTGCACACAAACTCAGCCCCCCACCCCCCCTTTTTTTTTTTTCTCTTGAGGATTTCAGAATACTCTACTTAAAACATCTCACGTTAGATATGAATGCCCAGAAAACGGCAAATTTTACCCTGTGATTCTTCTAGCTACTCCTTTGGTTAGTGTGTTGTATGAAGTACCATCCTGAACAAAGAGTTAAAGAAAAGAATTGCAGAAAAGCAGCGTATCCCTGATTTATACAATAATCAATGAAACATAGCCTTGTGAACCTGATTTCTTTTAAGGGTTGCATTGGAAGAAGTTAGACTTCTAGACTGTTTTTTTTTTCTTACTTGTGTTCATTTCAGGGTTATGTTGCTGACAGACTTAACAGCAAGATTACAGAAAAGTCATTGTTAGGGCTGCTATCTGCTGAATTTGGTGAGAGATTCAGACCAAAATAATTTTAAATAACTGCCTGCAACTGACTTAATTTGTCAGTACTGTGTTATTTTGTTGCAAATAAAGAGAAATATTTTTTTTCCAAATAAGTGTGTTTACTCATAATACATTGAGCAGGATCTATATTTATTTAAATTTAAAATGTTCAATATTGTTCTGAATAGTAGGGTGTACATTTGTTTAATTGATTAAAGTTCTTATCTGAGTTTTTATCAGTTTAAAAAAGTAGGTGGTCTATGTTTCACTTTCATAATTACATAAAATATATAACCTTCAAATTGAACACCATAAATATCTTAATCCTGAAATATATATATATTTATTCTTCACATAGGGGAATAATTTTAAAGAAGAACCACGGGCACCCATTGACAAAAGCAAAGCAAGGGAAAAAGCGAAGAAGAAGCAAAAAAATGAAAGGCAATCGTACAGAAATCGTGAAGAAAAAGTTAGGTGGAGCATCTCATCTCATTGCAGACGGCCAGGAAACATCAGAAAGTGAGGAGGATGATTCAGAAGAAGAAAACAGAAAGTCTTTGTCCACATTCGGTGAAGGTCCTGAGGATCCAGTAACAGGTTGTGAAGAACAGACGAAGGATGACCATGAAAGCCTTAAAGAATTTGCAAGGTTCTCAAAAGAAGGGTTTCCCATCACTGTGCCTGAGATCTCAGCTGTGTCCAGCAGTGCACTGGAAAATGAGTTGCCTGTAGAAAGTGACAGTTCACTTCTAATAGATGTAAAACCTTTTTGTACTGTAAGCCTAACCAAAAATGCTTTTGATGTTGAGGGAACAAATCAAAGGCGCGATGAAAATCTTTGCAAGAACAGTTCCCTAAAAATAAACAATGATAAAAATTCCATCCAAAAAACAAAGTGCAACTGTGAAGATAACAGCCTGCTGTCGAGCACAGAAAAAGAACTTAAAATTACATGTGAACCTGACATGGAAGCTAAACTGTTATGTTTAAATGGTGAAAAAAGAGAAATATCTATGTGTTCCAATTCAAAACTAAATGATGATGTGCCTGATAGTAACACAGACAATAAAAGTGCATTAAAACCAGAAGAGAATTTCTCTAATGGCCAGACTTTTTTTCCAATTAATTTATCTACCGAGAAATTGCAGCTGGGCTCTGATAGACAATTTTCTCTCTCTTCTTGGTCTGAGGATGAGTTTGTAGGTGAACAAAGACAAAAAAACGTGAGGAAACCTAAACAGATTTATACTTGTGGTTCAACAGAGCTAAACTGCCATCAGTCAAATGAAGGACTGGTAAAGGAAAACCACCAGGTACCATTAACTGAGGAAGCTGGTAATGTAATAAGCAATGGCCTGTTGGGATCTCCTGCTAGTGAAATGCACATGGGTTCACTTGGGGAATCCAGAAACACCTCCCCACGTGGTTCAGGTGAAGTAAACGTTCCAAAAAATGACGCTGCACTGGTTGCATCGAGGAGGAAAAGACGCAGGAGAATTGTCAACTTGGCACCAAAGTTTAATGTACCAAGAGAGATTGCTGGTAGCACAGCAGGAGGGAAGGAAGTCCCGTTAAAAGATGATGGTCCCTCAAAAAGTGTTGTAGAAGTGGAGAAAAAGAGCTTTCTAAACCAAGACTTTGGAGAGGAACGTGAACAAAACCTGGAATTTCTGGAATATTCTGCACCTTACAGTATCCCGGAGGCTCCCTGTTCCATGCCCACCCCTGATGTGGATTCTGTGTTACAAGATATTTCATGTATCCATTTGGGACAATCTTCTCCTATGCCAAAATATTCTTGTAGTGTTTGTGTCATTTCCAGGACAGAGGAGGAGCGAGCTAGTACTCCTAGGCAGCAGCAGGTGGTTGATGAAAAAACAAGCGAGAATGAACACGACTCTTCGGAGGTTACGAATAAACAACCAGATATTTTGTCTTCTCTTAAAGTCCCTTCTGAATATCCAGAAGATCCTTGTGTATTGGAAAGCTGTGTTGAAAATGCACATAGAACAGATGATTCAGAGCCATCAGAGGCCTTTCCACCTGAAGATACTCAAGATGTGACTATGAAAACCAGCTTTCTGGGACTTCCCTTATCAATAGGATTTGCGTTTCAACTTGTGCAGCTCTTTGGTTCTCCAGGTCTTCCACTGGGTAATACTCTTCTTACTACTGCTATATAAATATTTATGTATATGTGTGTGTGATTAAATATTCATTTTCATTGCAGGTAACAATTAATGACATATTAACCCTATTGAGAGGAATCACTGCTGCTTTGGTGATTTATTTATTTTTTTAAACCAAAGTCATCTTCAGTGTCTGTCCAAGGGCCCATTGGGTTTGGCCTCACATGTGCAATCTCTGTAGTAAAAGTTGCTTAGCACATTTAAATCCGAAGCGTGAAGCTCTTGTTGGTGTTTTAATGCACCATACCGAGTAAGACTTCAATGTGTTGATTACAAAACTAAGTGGAAGACATGACACAAAATGTGTGCTTTTACATAAAGTTTGCATGTTAGATTTTTTTTTTATTTATTTTGCCTGGTGAATATGGTAGCATTCCCTTTTCTTTGTTTAGCGAAGTTCTCCTAGACCCCTGTGTGGCTTAGATGTGGTTGAAAAGCTATCCCAGAATCTAATTTAATTTCCAAGTGCATATCAAACTTATGGCATGTATTTGCTAATAGGCAATGCTTTGTTTTTAATCACACGTGATTAAGAAGTGTCACAACAGTACGCTTGCCTTCCAGACCCCTCCACTTGTCATACTTTTGTACTTTCAGTTTAGACATTTTAAGTTAGCGGTAGGATCAATCCTCAAAGGAGTTGTGTGTGGCAAGTGTGATGTCCACATGACTGCAAGCTGACATGGCTCCAGAGCTGTAGTTAGCGACAAGAAGCATGTTTGGAAATCACTGCAGTGCATCGTGACGAAAGAGCAGTGTTCCCTGTGTGTAAAGTCCCGCAACTTCTTGGTCCAAATTTAGTCTATGAAAAAACAGTAACTTTGATTTAGCAAACAAGGAGACTTTTTGCAGACCAGATTTTGAACACATAGGCCTTTACACCTGTTTGTTTCAATAGAATTTAAACTTAACCATGTACCCTCATGTGAAAGTTGTCAGACAGCTGAAGAGCAGCTTATGTTCTGTCTGTACACCAGAACTGACTTCCAGGTTCTTTGTTTTTATTGTAAAAGTTGGTGGTATTGCTACATGTCAGAAAAGTGATGGCAAACCACTGGCAGCACTACCAGGCTTGGGGTGGTGCCCAAGGAACCTGCAGTGCTGCTTTATCTCAGCTTGGCACCACGCACCAAAGCATTTGCATATAGAGCTAAACAGAGCTATGAAGAACTGGAGAAGTCTTCAGCTCTCATATATATATATATATATAATATTATTCTCCAAACCTGGCATTCACGTCTGATGTTAAATGCCACTGTCTAGGAGGGACTGGAGTTGGCCATGACTTAAAAAAGTGATCTGCCAGGGACAAAAAAAAAAAAAAAAGGAAACACAAAAAACACAGAAGAAAAAAAAAAAAACAACAGGCATTCAGAAACACTTTACTGCATAGCACATCAAATGTCATTCTTCTCTGAGTGAATTTCTCTGGTGTTTAGATGAGTTTCCTTTGGAAGCAACCTTTAAGAAAATACAAAGCCCTCCTAATATCTCTCTGAAGCTCTGCCAGCTTGTGATTGCTGTGTTTTTTTCCCTTAAAACTGTGAATGCTCAATGCAGAGCACTGGTCATATTCTGATTTTACCGTAATTCTCCCACAAACTCAAAAACACTTGTGCTTTTTTTTTTTGTGGCCTGTTATATATTAACAGGCTATTGTTTATTGATGTACACAGTCAAATTGTAGTATTTTACCTGACTGGCAATTGCAGTCAATTTCTGTTGAAATTATTTGTGGGGAAATTTTTTGGCAAGTAAATGTCCTTGGATATTTATAAATGAAAGACTTAGTTGATTTATTTTCTTAGATTTTTGTCGTATAAGCGTAGGACATATTTCAGACTGCTCTCCTACAAAGAATCTCTTTTTGGCTTCTTAAACAGTGAAGAGTTGTTGCAGCTAAAATATTAGAAAGTAATTAAAATTGTAATTAAACATTAGAAGCATTTTGTTTGTTTTGTTTGTTTTGTAGCATTTTGTTTAATGTTTGTTTGTTTACAGGCTGAGAGCTTTCTGTCGGTCTCGTTTGTGCGGTGTTTCAGGGGAAGGTATGGGGGAGCTTTAAGCGTGGTAGGAAAGCCTTTGCCTAGAAAAAGAAACCAAAACCAAATCTCTGCCCCCTTCCCATGCACTGGCCCTAGATTCTGTAAAACCTAAATTTTGACTTTGCTGCTGGCTCATGTAGATATCTGCTTAGTTTAAAATGTCTACGTACTTAAGTCTGCAAAAACTATAGTGATATATTTTGGCTATGAAGAGATCTGAACACTCAACTGCAAAAATATTTTCTTCTGCAGAATCCTTGTTGCCAGATGATTATGTAGTTCCTCTTGACTGGAAAGTTTCAAAGATGATCTATTTACTGTGGAAGACCTCTGTGGAGGTACGAATTTTAGGGGATTTCGGAAGGCTTTCCAATATTCCAGGTGTAAAGAGGAAGCATTCAGTTCATGAAGCAAGATGTTACTCCTTGCTAATAAGTTTGCTTTGTTTTTTAATACTCACCGTGAGGAGATGGATGCTTTGTGTACTCTTTTGAATATTTCCAGAACCAGCTCCAGGCCCTGGTAGGGTTCAGATTTTGAATGGTCTGCTTCACAAATACATACAAAGTAGCTAAGGGAGATTTAAAAAAAAAATAAATAATAAAAATAAATTTCATTGATGCTATTGTCCTGACTTGGCCTACGTTAATTAAATACAACCTAGCATATCTAATTGTTCTCCTCCTTATGTTCTTATCATCTAAGCAAGTGCCATCCTCCTCCACTAGCATTAATTTCTTCATGGCTACTTCTACCGAGACCTGTAGCAGAGAAGTCACTCTGAATGATTGGCAGCAGCCTAATTCCCCTTGTCTAATCAGAAACTTACCTACAAATTACTTTTTTTTTTTTTTTTTTGCTCCTTCCCACTGTAGCTGTTGCTTTGTGAAGGTTGGTTTTACTTAAGGAGCACTGTACTGCTGGTAGTGGAAATGAGGAAAATCCCATAAATACAATGAATTACTAACTGTAAAATAGAATATGGACCTTGTTCTGTCTCAGAATAACAAAATCTTCTGTTGTGTATTTTCTCTTCTTCTCTGGTCTATTATTACTTGTTTTAGGAGAAACAGAAAACCAGTGGATTGCAAAATGGAAATGCTTTGGCTGGTAAGTCTATTTTGTGATACAAAACCTGTATAAAGCACTTGTAGATCAGAGAAAATAGTTAATGCTGAAGTGAAGTGTGCCAAGATTTTCAGCACGAATGAGTGACAACACGCCTTTTTGTGTAAAATCAGTAGGATATGGTAAATAAATGTCTCCATTGATTGCGTACATGGTATGGCAGAACTGCAGTCTCTATGAGCCATCGCTTCGCATTCCCTGATTCACGTACTGAAATTCTTTGTATTTTAGACTTTCCCATAAGAGTATTAATCAAATATTTAGCTCAAGTTTATCCGATTCCAGATCAGAAGGAAATTTAACATGAAAAAGTCTTTCTTTAGACTTTTCTTTGAAAAATGGAGCATCTTCAACATAATGGTTGCCAAAGACTGCCACCGTAATAATAAGTGAGGCTCTTGAACAGCAACATTATCAAGGTCCGTGGGAAGCCTGGGACTTCTGGCACATATTAATTCCTCCTGTGTGTAGATTACGGATGATTGCCATCTTAGTTTAGTATAATTTAGTATAAACTGCATAATGAGATTAAAAATACACAATAGTTGCTTGCTGGAAGCTTGGATTTGGTGTCAGAAATAGGAGGGTTTTTTAATCAAAAAAGGAGAAAAGGAAGCTCTTCACTTGGAGAGCTTAGAGGAAGCAGAAAAGTAGCATATAAAAATATATAGGTGTATACACCTGTCAGAGACAAACCTGGAAAAAATGGTGTATTTGAATTTACCTGAATTGGCCTTTCAGGGGGCAAAATAAATGAGCATTCTGATGAAATGAAGCTTGTTCTACAAATACTCTATCCTGACGTAATCCCTGAAATTATTTTATATAATTTGTATCTTTGGCTGCAGTTAGCATTTGTTTGTTTTTTAGATGATATTATTAGCCTTGAAGATCTAAATAAAAATTGCCAAGAGAATGAAGATGCTCCTGAAACGCTTCCAGAAACAGAATTACTTCAAGGGCTCGTAGAAGAGAACATCACAAGCTATGCTGGCAGTGGCTGTCTGGATACTGTGCTTCCTCAGTCGTGACTGACCATCTTTAAAAAAAAAAAACCTGCATGAAGGAAAAGGTAATCAGTCACACCTGTGACTGAGTTATTAAATGTTTTAATTCTTGTATATTTGACCAAACATCTAAAGAACATTAGTCATCATAATTTTTAAGATGCATTTAGCACCAACCAACATACTTGATTTTTTTCTTCAGATTAGGGTTGAGGTGAATTTTGTGTGTGTGTGTTTGCTTTTGTGGCTTTGTTTGCTTTTTTTTTTTGTCTTATTTTGTTTTTAAACCTTAGTGGGGATTTTTTTTTTTTTTTTTTTTTTTTTGCTATTAAAGCTGTATGATTTTTTTTTTTCCTCCTCAAAAACTAAAAAACTAAAAACTAAAAATCTAAATCTGCCCAGTGAAGTGAAAGCAACGGTCTGGGATGCCTAAATGCTGGACTTCATTGGCAGCTTGGTTACTGTGGTGGTCTGTAGTGAGTAATGTCACAGTTCCTGTTACTCTGTGAGCTGCTCATTGCAGCCTATCTCCACCCAAAGCATGAATTTAAGAAAGTCTTGAATATTCACTGTGGATTAAAACCTAACTTTTTTTCCATCCTGCCAGTTTTCCCCTGCTATTTCAACCTGCCCCACTTCTGCATGTCAGCTTCTCCTGTTTGCTTTTCTCTCCTACCTGTAGTTCTTCTGCACTCATATGCCATATCTTTTTCCTTGGTTGTTAGGATTTTTAAGGGTTCTTCTACTGCATATCCCTTTCTTTGTTTGAACTTGTAGTTGTTAGTAATAAGCTACTATATAAATCCATTGAAAGAAATAAGATTGATCAGTTTTTGAAGAGCTCTGCTCACTCTTATTGCCTATACCTTTATCTGGTTGCTGAATTTAGTAAACTGTTTATTTCCCTTATCTTTTTCTGCTGTATCTCTTTGCCACACTGCTCCCTAAAGCCTCCATCTCCTGCTTGCTGTGCAGGCAGAGGCAGCGATCCTCAGCCCCAGGTATTGAGGAGCCAGACCCCAGTTGCTGCTGTGAAACAAAATTCTGCAACTGAGCTTCCACGTGCCATTTTTGCAATGCCTTGGAGTAATTTAATGTGCTAATCTGCAGGAAATAAATGGAAAGTTTTCTGCTGGGCTAGCAAACTTAGATGAGTTTGTATATGGTCCAACCAAGTGCAAATGTCTGTGAAAAGCATCTCTTAGGGTTACCGATAGGACCTGACACCCGTTTTGAGGGATAGGGTCATCTTTCCTTACCCCATAATCAATATTTTCTGGTTGTTGATTTGGGCAAACTTACCAAGAATGGTGTCAGAGTGGTTGTAAAACTGCCCCAGTGAACATCTCTAAATGTTGACATGGATTAAATTTCATCAAATGTCAGAACTTCTTTTCAAAAAAAGCGAGAAAGCAGATGCATTTCTATTGAAAGATATTTAAATCATGGAAAATAAACGGGGAGCTAAAGGGTCTGGAATGATGGTATTAGATTTGAGAATAACTAAGCATTACTGGCCAAGAGCAACTTAGTTATTAGCCAGATGATCTTGCTTCTGTATTAATGTTGCATAAGGCGGCTGTTCTTACTGAAATGCGAGAGTGGACAGTGGTGGTGTTCCTCTGTAAATACACAGAGTTAATCTCAAGTAGTTTTGAGAGCTCCTTGTCGCAGCATTGGCAGTACATCAGTATTTGCTGTGGAGATTAAGCAAGAGATCCCGATTTAAAAATAAAAAATGCTGAGATCAGTGAAAACAGCATATTATTTTGGTGTGTAGGTCTCCTTAGGCCAGAAACCTGCAGTGCCAGATGCCGATACAAATGTAGAACAGGATGACAAAGGCTGATTGCAGTTTAAGCATTTATCTGCGTTTATTATTACAAAATAAAAGCTGGCAGGCTTGTGTTTGAAGTGCAGAGGTCGCTTTGCAGTAACTCCCTGCAGGGACGTTTCCTCCAGGACAGCGCAGCAGAGCAGGTGTTTTGGTGAGACATGCCTCCTGATGATACATGTTATCAGTCCTCCCTTTCCTGGCTGTGATATTGCTGTCATCTCCCTTTGTTGGACACAGTGCTTCGGCAGCCAGAGCAAAGCAGGTCAGCTGTATGATCCAATACAGAGCTGACATCCAAGAAGTGTTCAGTCTGGACCATCAGGATGAAATGAATTCTTAGAGCCATGCAGTCCACAGGGTAAGGTGCAGCAAAACATGCCTGGGACAGGCAAAAGAGAAAGCTGCTTGTGCTGAATAATGGGAAACTTCATCAGACTGCAGTTTCATCAGTGGTTTAAATTTGCATTAGCTAATGCTGCTTCTGAAAAGAGCAGAAAGAGCTGCTCGTTCCTAAAGCTGCACAGCCTGCTCTTGCACTGCTACAGGTGTTGGTAGCGCGATGCAGGGAACTTTATGCAGAAGCTGATCTTGGTTGGAAACCGAACATTTTGTGGGATGGATTTGAAGATGAAATGAGTAAAGAATTACCAGAACTGCTGGTGTGAAAAAGGCTGTGTGTTTAGTGCAGATCTGTATGCAGGTCAGACGTGCACTTGCTTTGCATACCATGTGTAGACCTCCACGCTTGAGCGGATGCTGTGCGCAGGCCCGTTGTGTACCACCAGATGCTCCTAAAGTGCTCTGTGGCACTTCCCAGGCACGTAAGGCAGCAGAAAGCTGCTTGAAAGTGTGTGTGAGGTGGCTGGCAACTAGGTCAAATCAGAGAAGAGCTGTCAGTGGTGGTGAATGAGAAGCGATAGGAAGGGTGGAATCAAGACTCCCAAAGCTTTGAGCACCAAAGCACCCAAAATTATAACCAGAAAAACTCATCTACCTGTTACAGTGCTTTCCAGGAACACCTGGCCTAAAATTTACTTAGAGATCATAATTAGTAGCAGGAGTAAGAGGAAATAAAGAATAAGAGAAAAATAAGAGAAAAAAAATAAATATGAGGAAATTTTAAAAAATATATAAAAGAACATGTCCACCATGTCACTCTTCTCCTTATTTTTAAATCTCAAGATTGCTAGGTCTGTGCTATCTCTAGTTTTGACGTCCGGGTGTTTTTTTCGCATTTTCTTGCATTTTTAATTTTTTTTCCTATGCTTTCTCTCTGCTTTTCCTATGCTTTCTGTCTGCTTTCTCTCCATTCTTTTTCTCTTTTTCAAAAAGTTATCAACAGCTAAGTATGAAAGAGAGAAATAGACTTTGTAAATCATCAGACAGACAAACTCTTTTTAGTCTGAAGATCAGATTTACAACCATTAAAGTCTTGCTACAGGCTGCACTATTGTGATATTTCAGCAAAATCTCTTTTTTATTACAGAAACTTCTCACTTTGATTCCACCATGGAAGGACTTCAGCTTACAACCAAGGATTTTAAATATAAGGAGTAACCTGGAAGAAAGTTACCTGTGTGACTTATTTTTGGTGTGAATCTGTGGCCGTCTGTTTTTTTTTTCCTCCACCAATATCAAGTTCTCTGTCCACATAACAAAAATCAAAATTGGGATAATTTTTTGTTATATAGCAAAAGGTCACTCTCTGACACCAGTTGGAATGCATCCCTTCTCTTCACGTTTGAGCATGATACGAGGAGACTGAAAGCAGCACAAAAGAGGTGTCTGTCCACCTGAGGTGTGAACGTCAGGCTCTGGTGTTTAATCTGGGTCTGAGGGCTCCAGATTTTGCTACAGGAACTGGGACGTGAACTGGTAATGATGCCTGCCTGCAGGGAAAGATGTCTGTTTTTCTGTTTTTAATTAAGCGTCTTATCCTACTTCTGCCTGCTCTTACCTTTCATCTTGTTCCTGATAATTACCTCCCAATCTCGTTATAATGTCAAGTGGAAGAAACCTTCATCAACCTCTTCTTCCCATTCTTTATTCCGTAGGTGCACAATTTACACTGTTTTCTCCTGAAATGATGCTTCATGTTTCCCTCCAACTAGGTTCATTTGGGACTATAGATATAAGAAGAAAGTTGTGCTATAGATCTGATTCAAACACACTTGAGGAAAACTGTGTATGGTTTGCATTAGATGGATAAGACCTATAACTAACACCAGTAATTGGTGACTTGATGTTTATTAGAGGTATTCCTTTTACCATTGTTTTTACTTAAAAATCTTATGTGACGAGAAATGTAAACTAAAAGCAGTTCTTTCCTTATTTTTTTTTTTTTATATTGGGTTTTTTCCTTCAAAATTAAGGACTTTTCAACCAGAAAGTAATCTCACTGGTAACAGTTCTGGGATAATTTCCTCAGTAACAGTATCACTAGTGGAGTGTGGGTTTCCTGAGGGAGATGAGCAGCAGAATTTGATGGGCATTTAAGAATAAAATCTAAAATTTTGCTCATGCAAATTTCTGTAAAAGGCCCACAGAGGTAGAAGAAATAATTACATATGTGAAGTGTGCTAAATTACCTAAGTGACAAATCTCAACCCATGTTTTTAAGACACTTTTTTTGTTTTGTTTTGTGTTTTCCCAAGGTGTAGTTAGATTCATCTGTGTTCTTTCTGTGGAGGTTGTAAACAGGGCCAGGCTTCTCTGCCAGCTCTCTCTCTCTTTTCTGGAGAAGCACAAAATCGACCTGATGTATGGCTGTGGTCCCTAAAATGTTGCCAAATGTTCAGTGCATATATCTTGGAAGTGCTGTGATGCCTGGAAGCGGAGCACTGCAGGTTGGCCTTGATCATGATGCTGAAGTGTCTGGCACTTTCACCTGCAGAATGAAAGAAGCAACCACAAACTGGAAGAGGAAACCATAAAGCGAGGTGTGGTGTGAAGGACAAGAAAGAAAAGAGGCTGGTGGGGGCAGGGCAAGATCACAGGGGATGTCTATTTATGAGAAAAAGCAAGTCTACTTGCTGAAATAGCAAGTAGTGAAGGTGAGACAGGCAATAAAGAAGGGAGGGAGGTGAAAAGAGAAATCAGAAGAAGATATAGTATGGAGGAAAATGTCACTGGGGGACAAATATTGATATAGCTTACAAAAAAGAAAAAATAATTAAAGAGAAAATTAATTTAATCAGAGCAATTAGGAGATAAACTTTCAATTTATAGACTTGTAAACTTATAAAATCTATAAACTAACTTTGTCAATTTTGAGATAAACTTTTATTGATAAGGCTGGAAAATTCTTTGTAGTGAGGAGGATGACAAAAAAGGACAAATACCACCTTACTTATGGTGAAAAGGGTGGGAAAAAATGAGAAGAGAAACAGGCAAGTTTAGGTTGTGTGTACTTGTCAGAAATACTTCCCACTTCTGTGGCTTCTAGATCTAGAATGTTTAGCCATTTCTTCATTTGTTTCCTCTTTCTCATCTTTTGCCTACACCCTTTTCATTGTGTATCAGCTGAAAAGGCAGAGCCTGACTGAAGCTGCACTGAGATCTAAATTACCAGTGCCCCCATTCTCTACTTAAATATTCCACATAAGCAGTTAAGTTTAGAAATACATAAATCTTTATGTTGCACCACTGGCAAAACTCAGAGACTGTACTTTTTTGATGCATTTTTCATGCTTGTGTGTGTGATTTTCTCCTTTCCTTGGTTGGAAACATACTGCTCTTCTACAAGGAGCATATTACAGAAAATGTAATGGGGAGGGAGGTAATTCATGCTGGTCAAAACCTCAGCTTCAGGCTTAACCTGATGTACCGTGGCAGCAGAAAAGTCAATTCGGTTTCAAGAAAATGTCACTGAAGTGTTCCTATTTTCTTCCTACCTTTATTTATTGAGAAAGAATTCTGAATGCGTATATTTTCTGTTACTGAATACTGCCCTTCCAGAATGCTTGAAATAAAAAGTTTTCAAAAATCCCACAGTATTTGTGTATGGATAAATTGTTTCATCTTTCAGAAGGGTATTGCCATTTTAAGTGTACTTTAAAAGCCCAATGGTAGCTTTGATTTGTGAAGTTTATGGATCTTATTCCCTGCCACCTTTTTCCACTTGATTCAGCTAGTGGTGGAAAGTATGCCGGTTTCCTCAGATTTGCTTTCTCAAAGTAATTAAAACATTACTATAGTATTTGGTGTGCCACATCAGGGGGAACTAAGCTTTCCTATGGTGTGCAAACACCATCTTTAGCACTATTTTCAGACTCTTAGAGCCAAAACTTCAGCGTCTGTAGTTAAATGGACATGTGTACCTGCAGTATGCCTGAGCCTGGTTTCTGACCAGACTGCAGCTGCTGGTTTGGATGGCTCTGAGAGGGGGACTGACACCACACGGAGTGTTTTTGTTTTCAGTGGAAACTGTATTCTTTTCTTGTCTTGTGTAGTGGTAGTGTTAAAGCAGGTCAGGCTTTCTTTACGGAAAATAAATCACGTTAAACTCGCTGTGGTTTCTCATGTGATAATGCATATGAAAAAAAAAAAGAGGGAACTGAACTGAGCTTGATGCATGGGGTTGCTTATGCAATGCAGCACAGTTATTTAGCTGTGGCTGCCTGGAATCCTCTCCTGCTTCTGGGTGGAATCCAGCAAAAAAGAAAGAAAACGAAAGGAATAAAATAGATCCTAAAGCTGGGGTTCTGTAGGCAGCTCGGGCGTGCTGTGGTGACTGCCTTTGTCCCCAGCCTGTGGGGCAGAGTACGGGGGGTCAGAACCTGGGCCTAGGGCTTCTCAGCACCGGCAGCATCGCCCCCCCACCTTGATACCGTGCAAATTAATGAATTTTTGGTAACCACAGCCGGCCCCCCGCGGGCAGCCCAGCCCTTCCCTGTGCGAGGCCTCCCCGGGAGGGGCCGGGGCCGGCTCCCCGCCACCTCCCTCCCCCTTCCGGGCTGGGCCCGGCCCTCGCACAACCGGGACCGATCGGGGCCGGGCCGGGCCGGGCCCCATGGACGAGCGGCTGCTCCGAGCCCTGGGGGGGCTCAGCCTGCAGCCCCCGCCACGGAGGCGCTTCGGCAAGAGCCTGGTGCTGCTGCGGGGCCTGCCCGGCTCCGGGAAGAGCACTCTGGCCAGGTAAGGGCTGGGAAGGGGGCTGGTGCCGTGACAGCTGCTTGGGGTCATTTAGGGTTCCTTTAGGGTTCCTTTAGGGCTTTGCCTCGCAGGGTCTTGGCTCCCTCAGGCTGGTGGAAAGCAAGGAGCCAGCCCTCAGCAAGGTGCTAGAGCCGAGCCCCAGATGGCCCGGGGTGGTGCCAGGAGGTCCTCTGCTTGCTCCAAAACCTGGAAGGAGCAAGGCAGGGCTGTGAGATGGAAATAGGGTTATGACAGCCACCTCGGGGGCTTTTCTGGCCAGGAAGGGGAGCAGGAGCCTCGCAGAAAGCTCAAAAATGCTTCAAAGCTTTGCTGCTCCAGCCACGAGGAGCTGCGTTAAGGACACGCAGCCCAGCGCATGGGACAAGGTTCCCTTCCTAATTTTTAAGGGATTAGTGCCCAAAGGTGCGTTGCCAGTAAGCCCCTAAATCACCCCAGCCAGGCTATTTGTTGTTCTGTAAAATTACCAGGCTAAGGCTTTTTTATTTTGTGGTTGATTGCCGACGATAAAGCAGTTCCTCCGTCTCGCAGCGAGAATTTCCAAGGGCTGCGACTTCTGGTTTCGTATGTCTGAGCCCCAGCGGTGTGGGAGACAGGCAGGAGAGGCTCCAGGACTGGTGAAAAATTGGTGGAAAAGCCCCGAGGGGAGTGCTGTGGGGTGGCACCACAGCCTGCCCGACCCCATAGCCACAGCCTGGTATCGCGACCAGCCTGGTATCCCAAAGCTCCTGGTGTCCCCCTGCTCTCCACCAAAAGGCGGACGTTCACCGTGGGCTTCCCCCTGGTGAGGAGAGCGTGCCAGAATGAACGGAGGGATTTTGGGGGATGTATCCTCAGCCAATGCAAATAACTCGCCTCTTTTTTTTCAGGTCAAAACATGAGTTTAATTATTAATGGTGGATTTGCAGAATAAATCGTAAACATTGTTTTAGTCCCATGTGAGGGGAAGGCTTGAAGGACTTGTTCTGCACCTAGCCCCTGCTGATTGTATCATAAACACTACGTGGCTCAAAGGGCAGCTGTGAGAGCTGCCTGTAGCACCTCTCCGTTAGCTCTGTCAGATTACGAAAGGACTGTGCCAAGAAACTTCTCAGATTTGCTCTTTCCAGCATCCCACACTGTGTATCTTTTGGTGTTGGCAATTGTAGTGTGCTAGGCAAGAATATGTTTGTAGAGAATTAGTACAACAAGCACGGTGCGAGATCCTATTGGCGAGGAAAGGTGAGATTTACTTTAAAAATTTGCAGGTAAGCTAATTTTACCCATTCAAATTCATTCTCTCTGACTTTTTTTCACTCACACTATCACACTCAAATATTTGCAAGCATCAGGATACGTGTGCACAGGTGGTGTGGCCAAAATCAGCAAGGACAAGGTCCTTCGGCAGCCCCATTTTTGCTTTTTCTTCTAGGTTCTTCTTGGTAGTGGTGACAAAGTGGCTTTTTTATGTCCTCTAGCAGTTACCATGATGCCATTTTTCATGAATCTTAGGCAAGATTTTTGGCTGTTATTTTTGTTTTCCCACTTTGGGTGCCTTTACAGCTACAGCTCTCTCCCTTTTGGAAAGAGGAGGGTGGCTGCAGGCTAGCAGGACCTGCTGGCCATCCTCCTGCTCTCCTGTCTCCTAGTAGCAAGTCATTGCTCTGTATCAGTGTGTGGGTGACAAGCACGTTTCCCAGTTTCATAGCTGTTAACTCTGCTCTTGGTTATCAGCATATGCCATTGTTTTAACCTTTGCTCTGTTGTTTCTTCTGGTGCTTTCACACACGTCTCCGTTCATTCATTATTCATGTCGGCTACTATTTCTGTTGCAAGCTGTGTGCCTTTACAGCGCTCAGAAATGTCATGAACCGTGAATGTTATCACCAGTGATACTGCAACTCGCTGATAGAGCATCCCCTTGTCGGTTTGTTGCACCAGACTATTGTCCAGGAGCAAGCTAGGGCTCAGGGCTTGATTCCCTGACCTTTTATTGTCACCTGGCACTGTTTGGATATGGCTTTGTAAGATATAATTACAGCATCTTTTCCAATCACACCACTGTTAAGGATGCACATCCCTGAACCTCCTACTTATTAGGTGATCCGAACTGGTGCCCTCTAATCATTCACCATACATCATCAGAGGCAACTGCTAAGAAAACATGTCTGAGGTGCAGTAGTACATTCAGCTTACAAAACATCTCCAAAAAGCAAGTGAGCCACGTGCAGGCTCATATCTGCTTCCATGACAAACTTTGTTTGTGGTGGAAACGCGCAACTCAACATAACACGTAACCTATTTAACAGTTTTGCTCAAGCACTAGGCTGGGCACGATCAAATATGTAACTTCTCAACTTCTCCTGTTGATTTACCACTTGAAATAGGACCGGTTTTGTGCTCCCTTATGAAGCATAAAGTGAACAGTCATCCAGAACAGGTGACAAAGACACAGAGGGAAAAATACATTGGCACCGAGGAATCAGTGCTTGGCATAGGCTTTGTCTTCTCCAGTTCTCTCTGCTGCATTTGTCTGGTTCCCCCCTTCACCTCCAGTCCCTTCTCCAGCCCTGCCATGGGTAGGATCCCAAATCAGCCTGTCCTTTGTCACCAGGATCCCGACCCTACGGGAGAATTGCAGCACAGTTCACGGACTTTGCCTGTTAGCTCTGCAGCTCCTGCTTCCAGATGGTAACACACAGTCAACATCTACCTGTGTATACGACATGCTCGTGCTTCAGGTCCTTCTAAATGTGTTTACCGACAGGCACAGCACGGCTGCTGCTCGTGTCCTGCCGGCGAGACGTGGAGGCACTGCCGTGCTGCCTGGCAGCCCCGCGCCGGGGCAGAGTCCTCAGGGCGCTCACTGCAAGTTACCAAAACACTTCAGGCAGCTGATAGCACTGTGCATGTGCTTTGGTTCTCATTTTTCTCATTTTCTGCCAAAACTGAATGCTGAAAAGCCACAGGAAGGCTTTTTAGTGAGCAGAACAAGTGGCTGTATGCAGTGCTAGCACATAAACGCTAGGATCTGCGTTACGTTGGAAGGAGGTTGTATCTTGAGACTCTACCAGGCCTAAGATCTGCCCGGCACTCAGTTCTGTTAGTTTTCATGAAAGCAGAAAACACTCCTTCCAGTCTTTTTACCAGACTGAATATCGGACATCCATTCACTTCCAGAGTTTCTGATGGAAAAAAGTGACAGCCTGTGAAATGCAGTCAGGGGCTTTTTTTTTCTCCAGTGACCATTATCGGTGAAGGTGGGGACTTCTCTCAAGTCCTATCCTTGTATCCAGCTAGTGGAAATGCTGGCTAGTAATTTTGTGGTCTGTGAGGATAGAAATATATCCAGTTAAAATCAGAATTGATTGATTGAAAGCACTGAAGATGCTATTAATAAACAGGGGACTTCAAAAACGGTATAAGTCATGGGAGCAGGTCCTCAGATAAATAACTTAGAAGGCTTCAAAACCCCTCTCTGTTAGCTCATGGAGTTGTATTTTCAACAGACATATTCTTTTTCAGTAGTTGCAACCATGGTAAACCTGAGCAGGGTGAAGAGTAGAGGTGAATGCACCGAGAGCCCGCGCTGGTCGGAGGCGTCCCTGCAGCTGCTGCTGGGGCTGGTGACGACGCTGGAGCCTCTGCGCACACCGAGGGCTCCCGGAGGGTTTGAGCAGTCCCCAGGCCTGCCAGCAGTTTGCTGCTGCTGTGCCATAAGCACCTGAAAACTTTTTTTTTTTTTTTTCCAGTTGCATCAGTCTAACAAGGTACTTCACCTAGCTTGGAAATCTTCCCCCTGGGAAGGGGAAAGAAAGGCACGAGAGCAGACTTGTGTCTGTAACAGACCATATTAAACCTGCTGCAAGGCAGCTGCAATACGGAGCAATTAAATATCGTGTAGGCTAATTAATACTGAACTTTTGGCAGATACTGTTTCTCACAATGCAGTGCTTAAAGTTCAGTGGCTTTTCTTCAGTGCAGACATAGCCTGTAAGTACCCTTTGATCTTGCAAGAGATTTCTTTTTTTTCATCCTCAGTGTGGTTTACACTTACTGATCTAACTGCAATGGGTGCTGCTCAGAATTTATTAATAAATAACACTGGGAACAAGTTCTCCCATTTTGTATATTTAGCTCCAATACAAGCATTATTGCTGCATAGAGTGATCAGGAGTCTAATGGGATAATGTAAAACCTCTAAACTACACCAACGTCTGGTCCTTTGTAGATCTCAGTGGCTGTAGTTTCAAGCAAAATATCAAAGTGTCTTGGGTGCAATGAATTTATTTTTTTTCAAGTGAAATTAAAAGGGACAGAACAAACAGAACGGGACAAGGTGGCAGGAAAGAGCTGTAAGCTTTGGAGTCAGTTTGGTTGTGGAAAAACAAGTGTTAAAGACAGCAAAACAAGCTTCATGTTTTGTTATGTTGCTATTAGTATGGTTTTATTTGTTTAGTCTGAGTATAGTAAACGTGCCAGTAATCCATAGCCCTGAACACATCTTGTGCCGTATTTTTCCTCGTTTGAAGTCCCAGTTTTATCTGCTTTATTACCAGGGATACGAAGATAGTAAACTGAATGTGCAGGTAATCACACACTGCTTAAGTTGCTTACATATCAAAGCTCTCTGTTAGCATTTAAAATGCTAAAAAGTATTTTAAAATTTTGCACTGTGATAACATTTTGAAAGGAAATACCGAAGAAGAAAAACATACTGAGATCTTTTATTAATATGTACAATTTTGTGTGCAACTTAATAGGTAAAGGGACAACATGTTTTAGCACAATCAGCTTTTTATAGAAGAGATTATGATGCAGATGGATGAAACGGGAAAGGTAAGGTACTGAACTACTGAGAGCTAAATTTATCAGTGTGTCAGCGTGAGAGCAAACAGATAAGCATTAGGTGCTCACATGTTCTTCGTGATAAGAATTATTTGCATGGGACCAAAACTAAAGTTTTTTTAATACTTTTTTTGGGATCTGTTTGTCCAGCAGTAATTAGGTAAATAAAACATCTCTTCTGAGCTAGAAGATAACTGTGCGTTAAGAGGTATGTAACTTAGTGGCTGCAGCACAGAGCAGTGAGGTTGGCCTTGGCTGGTCAGCCAGCAGCGAGTCTCTGCTCCCTGTGGCAGTGGCTACCCCAAAATAACACGAATTAATCAGCAGACGGTGGAAATTACAGCGCAGGTGGAACAAGTCAGAAGTCAGCCTTGGTTCAAGGAAAAGCAAAGTGCAATCTGAGTGAGGAATTGCTGCTGGCAGGCAGGTTAGGATGAAATTGGTAAGTAAATGGCTGGAGTCGAGCTCGAGATGACAGAATTAAGCCTTTTCTGTCTGCCTGTCTGGTTTTTTGCCGATAACCTAGAGGGACCTTTTCCCCTGCCGTTGCTCAATTAGATAAGGCATTGAGAAATTGTTGTTCTGTAGCTTACGGGGATGGCAGAGAAGCGTTTTATCGAGGACGCTGAAATGAGTCACAGACTGAAGACCATGTGTGGCGTGAGATAGCAGGGCAGCGACGTTCGTGTCTGAGAGTCACAAGGCTTCTGGACTGGCCTTTCTTTCTTCTCTCTTGGCTCCTGGGGCCCTGACAAGATAAGTGAGCAGCAAGGTGATGTCGTGGGCTCTCCCTGGCTTCTTGCAGAGATTCCCTCCCTCCCTCCTCCTCCCAACACTCCCTTGACTGACAAAGTGAACAGTTCAGCCTATGGACACAAATAAGATGAAAACACACAAACAGAAAGCCAGTTTTGCATTAAGATTTCTTTTTAATGTTCCCTGAGGACTAATTTTCAGGAAGAACCCTTCAAATTCAAGCCACCACATCAGGAGCATTTTCATTCCTTAGCCTCCTGAAAGGCGGCTGGTCAGCCTGCAGCAGGACACCACCAGATCTTGTCCCAGCTGTGAGTGGGCATGGTTGTGGGACACACATCAACATGAAGAGAAGGGGGTTGCCCTTGGCTGTTAACCACAGGGGACCTCCTTTATGGATCTGCTGCATCTGAGGTGGCCAAGCCAGGCAATGCAGATTTGTCTGCAAAACATTAAAAAATGGAAATCAAAGAAAAATGACTCAACTCGACAAGAAGAGGGCAGAGTAAACAGAGACAAGTGAGAAGCAGAAAGAACCATAAAATAATAGGAAATGTTGACTAATCCCTCTCATACTTGTTTGTACATTAAAGGAAAGGAGCTACATGCTTTACAGCCAGAGAAAGAAGAAGAACAAAGAACAAGACAAAGCTGATAATACAGACAATCCTTACTAAATGACCAACCATTCCTCCTTATTATCTTCAAAAATCTCTCTGTAGTGAAACTCCCATAAGAGAATTGCCTTTTAAGACTCACTTCCATGGGATTAGCAGTATTTTTTAAAATGTATGTTCATACCTTCTCAAATAACTCAGAAAATTGAATTTATTATTATGATTAAAGACTCGTGTTGGCGGTCCATTGTAGATCTCTCTGCTGAATTAAAGAAATCAAACATGCCTTTAAGCTCCTGCATGCTCACCTACTGATTACATTATTTTCAGATCTCTTTAATCTGGGATTTTCAAAACGAAGGACTGTGCAAATTTGCAGAGCAGTCGTACAGCTCTTGATGTAATGTTCTTTGTTAAAGGCATGTGTTTGTACATCCTAATCCTTCTTTCATTGTGTTTTTTGTTTTCCAGACAACTGAAATATGACTATCCCAGTGCTGTGGTTCTTAGTACTGATGACTTCTTCACTAGAAATGGTGTGTACGTGTTTGAGCCTGACTTCCTAGAGGATGCACACAAGTGGAACCAAAAGAGAGGTGACTGAAATTGATCCAGTCTTTTGTCAGCATAGTTTTGCTTTTCAGTATGTCTTCAAATTAAGCCCCCAAATAAAAATATCTCAAAGTAGGTGAAGTTCGTGGTGTATTGGTTAAAATATATTTGCCACTTCTGATATTATTTTGTAGCGTTAAAGAGAGGAATTTAAAATGAATTAATGTTGGTGATAGTTACTGGTTTTGGAAATAGAACTGACTCTGAGGTAGCCCTGCTGAAGCTTGATTAACAGCAGATGGCATGCAAATGCCAGCACTGCAGCTGCTTAGCATAGACTGCACCTCCTTAGGTGTCTGTCCTGACCTAGAAGTGGGTGGCAGCGAGGAATTAGTGACAGGCAGGAGGAAAACTTCCAAACCTCCATAATTTGAGAATGAAATGACCTATGTGTCTAGCTGAGAGAGGAAAATGTCACATATATTTGAGGCCGTGCTCTGAACCCACTTAGAGCATTGGCAAATGTACCTTGGGGTCATAAAACAGACATCTTTTGCAAATAATGGTCTCTCATACTTGCTGTAAATACCTAAATGTGTCTAAATGTGTTCACACAAGTTTCAGATCTTGCTTCTGAGCACAGCCACCAGCTGCATCACCTGCAGGAAACACCTGCTGGGTGCCAATCTCTGCTTGCTTTTGGGTGGTAGCTACAAACCCGAGTCCAGCGGGGAGCCAAGCATGCTAGGAGTGGGCAAGGAAAGGATCCTTCTAGGCTAGAAAGACCTGGCTCAGTCTGTTACTTAATACATTTTAGCTTTACTTGATGTGTTACATTACAGCACGCAAAGCAATGAAGAATGGGAAAAGCCCGGTTATTATTGATAACACCAACATCCATGCTTGGGAAATGAAGCCGTATGTGATGATGGTAGGGAAAGCTATGATTTATTGCTTTTACACGCTCAGCTCTGACATTTAAGAGGTGATCTGACTGAAACAATTCTTAACAAGGCTAAAACTAATGACTTCCATTTTCCCTCAGTCCTCTAATTATAGTTAATAATTTATATTGCGAAGACGTAGGGGAAAAGGTGCCTATGCAATTATTTTATCTAGCCAGCTATACACCTCAGTGAAGGCAAAATTGTTAGAAAGATTAATGATCTTTGAACTTGCCCTGTAGCTTCTTGGCAATCAGGCAATCCTCAGCAGTGACATGAGTGTGACAGTTTCCAAACTGTTGAATCTGAAACTGACCAAATATAAGAGTTTCCAAAGTTAACAAATATATCAAAATTTTAGTTTATGACTTGTGAAAAATACACCAGAAAGAGTCTTTGAAGGGTGCATTCAGTATCTCTTTTTAGTAGTGCTGGCAGGCATAGCATTTATTGCCAATATCTTTAGCACAGTTTCATAGTCTGGCCTGCCTGGTAACATCACACTCATGCTTATGCACAGCTATAAGTTCTTGGGTTCCGATCACATTAGAAAAAAAATTTGGGTCAAGGTATCGCTTTTATGGGAGCTCAAAAGAGGCAAGAATTAATAGTGGTGCTGGAAACCCTGGACGTGGTACTGTGCTGGAGGACGTTGTGAATGCTTCTGGGTGACCATGAAGCAAGTGAGAGATTGCAGCTAGAGGTGTACAAGATGTAGAAAGATCAGGAGTCCCCTGCCTCCTTTCTGCTACTATATAATGTCTTCAGGAGGCAGTGTTCACCCCTCCAAATCAAATCCCAAAAGCAATCAATAGCTGTGTTAGCTAAATATATATATATACACATACACATATAGATGTATATGTATACACATATGGAGATACAAATATGTTGCTTTACCATGAAAAAAAGAAATCAAGACCTGTAGATTCAGTGCCTGGAAATAGCACGACACTCCCAGAAGCTCCAGCTTGGCGCAGCCGACCTGTGGCTCTTGAACCATTGGTGACTGCCAGAGAGCTCCTGTGGCAGTGCCCCATTGCCGCAGGGAGCAGGGTGTGGGGAAATGTGGAGGCAGGGTGTGCTGGGAGACCCAAAGCCTTTGGTGTAAGGGGGAATGGACTGGCAGGGAGTCAGACCAGCACCGTGGTGGGAGCCGTGGTGAGCTTCTTCCTTCTGGCTCCTGGAGATGCGTGATACATCTCTTAACCCACCAAAATTCTCAGGGGGGGAGGGGCTGGCTAATCCTGGGTTTGGTGGCCCTAAATCTAAAACTTGTGTGTACTTCTTCAGGCACGTGAAAATAGCTACGAAGTTATATTTCGGGAACCAGATACACCCTGGAAGTTCAATGTTCACGAACTGACAAGGTACAGCTTTTTCTCTTTGGTGCAGCAGACAGCTTCTCACTGTTGTGCTCTGAGAAAGGTCAGCACTTCTCCTCTTCATACCCCCTGAAATGTCACCTGGTAAATGACAATGGAAGGGCGCGCGTACTGCATTCAGGCTGAGCCATTTCTGCTGTGTAATTATTTGAAACGAGTCAGCTTTTGCAGTAGCCTGCCAGGACTGTAAGGCTGACTCAAACACCTGCAGCTTGGGGCAGCATTTTGGCAAATGATGCAGGGACATCTGAAAGTTGCTTCCAGTACCTTCAGCGCTGGCTGCAGGCTTCCTGATACCAGATAAATGTCCTCGTGATACCCTAGGTTCTCTAGGTACCTAAACCTTTAGTCCACAAGCTGTGAGCAGTGTAAATCTCCTGTAAGACAGGTAGCTCTTGCCAGAGCTCTGTTCATGCATCCTGTATGCCCCCTGTAAGGCACAGGATGTCAGTCTTGAAGGACAGCACCATTCCCAGCTGCTTGGGCAGAAAAAAGGCAGGAGTATGGGCTGGTTTGCTCTGATCAATTCTGGTTCTGCATCATCTTTGCAGTTGTGCTGGTTGCTGATCCCGGCTGCACACTGCCCACGTGTAGGGCACTGGCAGCTGGTGGCTCTCATGCCCATGACAAGTGGGGATGCTGCAGCTGGAAACGTGCTGCATTGATTTCACCTTAATTCCACTGGAGGAAAAAAAAACAAAAAACATTTTGAGCACTCCAGGATTTGCACACAGCAAGACTTTGAAAATGCAGCTGCAAGACAACAGTCACACTAGCTCACTAGTAGGGCCCTATGGAGATAAATGGTAAAAATAAAGCTATTCAGAGCTCATGAACTCCCAGAGACACAGAAGTACCAGGCAGTCTTTGGAAAGTTTCTGGTTTGTCCAGAAACCCCTGCATGGTTGAGCATAGTGCTCTCCTCTTCCCTGGCCTACTTTAATTTATATATTTGCCCTGGAGTCACCGTGTGTGGCAACGGGTAGCTTCCATTACAAACAGTGAAGTCCTACACGTTTCTCTTTCCGCTTCCTTCCCCCTATTTTTATAGATCAGAACCATTAAGGTTGGAAAAGCCCTCCAACATCATCTGGGCCAACCATCCCCCTACCACCAGTATCACCCACTAAACCATGTCCTTAAAATTACGTGCAATGTCTCCTCTCCTCCCTACCTCATCTTGTGTTCCTATTGAGTCTTCCCCCTCTGTTTTCACATATGGAGCCCAAACCTGTGTTTTACAGGTGCAAATTCCCAGCTTTTCTCCCCCACCTCCCCAGTCTCCGTGTTTCCTACAGAGCCACCAGCAGCACCATCTCCCTCACCATCACTTCTGCCCATTCATTTTTTTTTTTCCCCACGTGCACTCAGCTAAAGCAACAACAGATTTGTGACCTCTACACCTGTTACAACTCAGTGTCTGGGCTACCCACAGCCATTGTTTGTCTTTCTCCAGAAGTATGAAAGCTCATCCTGGGTCTAACAAGCCGTTGGCTCCAAAACCCAGCAATATTCACAGAAAATACGATACAGACCAGATAGATCTTCTACCTAGCTCTTTCTCGGCCTGGCTGTTTCAGTGCATTCGCCTAACCTCTTCTGGCCTTGCTGCCCACAAAAATGTGCGGGTTACTTTTTCCAGCAGTCCCTGCAGTATTGTTGAGAGGTAGGTGGCAACGACCAATGGGTCAGCCAAAAAAAAAAACTAGAAAAAAATCTAGCAAAGGCTCACCAAGCACCAGGAGCAATGTCCAGCAAACGTAAGCCAACCTGTAACGTATTTCTGCTACCGTTGCCTCTACAGAAGAAATATCCACGACGTCCCGCGGCAAAAGATACAGCGGATGAAAGAGGAATACGAGCACCACGTCACCTTCCACAGCGTTCTCCACGCCCAGCAGCCCGACAGAGACGACAGAAGCACCACGGGACCAAGCACAGCTCATGGCCTGGGCGCCCACCACAGCCCCCCGCCGGGCTGCTCACACAGACCGCGCCCGGCACGCACGCGCACCTTGCCATTTCGCTGAGGGGTGGAGGCCTCTGTGTGTGTTTTAATCATCAGGGGATCAAAGTCTCTAGTTTTACTTTTTTTTTAACTAAACTGTTTTATATTCTTGTATTTTCCTACTGCATTTCAAAAGCAGACTTTTATTTCTTAAAAGTCTTTACGTGGCGCTAGATTATGATCTCACAGATCTTCCTGGCTGATTGCCCTCTTATCTCTGGCACAAACTGCATGCCCTCATCCTTCTTCCTTCACTAAAATTCATTCTGGCTTTGGCTTATGGTAAAATTTGTTGGCTGGGCCTCACTCTTTTTTTTTTTTTTTTGCATTGCTGTAACTGCTAGAGAGCACTGAATGCTCTTAGTTGTTTTTTCCTTACAGCCCACGTGGCCAACTCCTTCTCCATGCAGTGGTCATTTCTTGCAGTTTTGCTCCTGGATAATCCTTTCTGTCTTCACCTTCTTGTCTAGCGTGTTTTAACTGCTAACTTTCAGAGAGGCAAAAAGTCAATCAGGGAAAAGGTAGAGCTGTAAGAGAGCGTAGCAAGATCTGATGCTCTTCTGCATCTCCGCATCTGCTGCCTGCATCTGTGCTGTTCTTACCTTAGCGCTAACACAGCCAAACAGCATCTCCAGCCTGAAGGAGGAAAACTTTAATGCTTTAAACTTCATCTTGCGGAGAGAAAGCAGAGGAGGCAGTGTTGTTTCCTGAAGGAAAGATCGGTACTGGGTGAGTGCTTGCTAACTTGAAGGTGGCACTGGGCTACAGAGGCAGCTGTAAATAGGCAAAGCACGAGGCTGCTGCCTACCTGAACTCAGGAGGACAAAGAGTGTTGCACAAAATGACAACTTGAGAAAGGAAGGGGGAAAAAAGTGTTTGTAAGAGAAGAAATTGATCCCTTCCCCCACACAGTGCAGAGAAGCCATTGACTGTTGGTGGATGAGCAAAAGAAGCGATCCTGCAGGAGTTCCAAAAAACTTCTAAAATCCTGCTGATGGGTCTTTGTCAACAGGGCTCGTGAAACGTTATTGTAAAACTCAGCATTTGTGATGGCAATTCTCTGTAAGTAGGTGCAGAACTACACTGCCACCTGGGCAGTGACTGTAGAAGAGGGCAGTAGCAAGGTAGTTGGCAGTAGGAAATGAAGAAATGAAGGAAATGAAGCTCACCCAGATCATGAAGGAACACAGGTGCAGCTGCTGCTCCTCTGCCAGGCTAGTGGACAGAAGTATCAAGGCGTACGTTAGTCCTGTGTGAAAACGAATCTGGCTGTAGGAGTCCGTATAAAGCAGTAGGGGTGGGATGAATTCCAGTTTCTATTTTTATTTTTTAACTCAGGCTGCATGTAAAGCAGCACTGTCACCACTGTAAATAATTGCTCATTAAGGGGTTTAGGGCACCTGCAGCATTGCACAAAGTTTTTAAGTGGAGCTGCTGTCACCCTCTTACATTCCCCAGTCCCACTGCAGTGCCCAGCTTGGCTGCAGGAGCTGCCCTCAGCCCTGCACTCGAGCCAAGTTAGCAGCACAGGACTGCAGGAAGGTCACCAGGAGGGAGCTGCTGCCATCCTCCTTTGACACCTGAAGGGCGAGGGCAGGACAACGGCATAACTAAACCATGGAGTCAGAGCCTGCCACGCAGAACTGCTTCTCTTGTGCAGAAGCTCCAGTTTTGAAAATCTTCACCTGCAGAACTTAATGAGAAAGAAACCATGAACAGAAGTACTAACTCCCTCCTGGCAGAAAGAACTTGGGATGAAATTAAGGGCCTGGCTTTCTTTCATAACATTCTGGCTTAAAGTAGTACCTCTAACTAAGACCAAGGATTTATTATTACTATTTTTAATTTTTTTTTTTTTACTATGAATCAATCATAATTATAGTTCTTTTCTAAAAGTTTTAGCACTGCATGGAAATTTTAAGGAATTATGGTTTACATAATTTTAAGGAATTAGGGTTTACAGAACTATGCCAGAATTACAGAGGAGTATTTTGGAATTAAGCTGCTATGTTTGGTTCCAATAAATTTAGACAATTGTTGATTTTGCCCTGTGCTACTTCTGACAAACAACTACGCTAATGCCACAGCTGGTAACAAAAGAGGTTGCTTGAGACTGAAACAAAGACCCTGCCAGAATTCAACAATACATCAGAATCAAAGTGATGGGTTATAAAATCTCGAGCCAGAGTGATGCTAGTGTATGTGATGTTTGTGTGAGAAATGTATGATTATTCAGCTCCTAATCATTTGTCCTGCAGCTGAAATGCCCTCTGAGGATTTTTTGTAATATAACTTTATTAAATACAACCGGGATCTAATGTACAAAGTAAAAATCATTTAAACTTGAAATATATACAATACTGTACATGTGTATTTAGTAGCATTTTCGGGATTTTCGTCTTTGCAGCATCCTGTGGGTTGATAATGAGCCCCCAAGCTCCTTTGTGTCCTCCTGAAGAGCCTCAGCTCCTTCAGAACTGCTTTTTAATGAGTTCTTTGCTTCCTCAGTTGATCTGGAACTACGTTTGGACGAAAGATCATCAGACAAATTAGTAGCTATTGTACTGGTCTCATTTACACCCTCAGTCTTCTTTTCTTCTGGTAAAGTATTTATGAGTGCTTGCGTATTAATCATGGCCAGTTCTTCATCAGCAACCAGGTCATTAACGGGAACACGGACAGCTTCTCTCACTTTTCTGCTGGGGGTGACAAAACCCACATTTGGATTTGTTTCTTTCCCTAACTTATTACGCTGTAAGCCCAAACTTCGCGGAGGCTGAAATGCCTTCTTTAAAGATGGAGAAATGGTCGAACAGATCGGTGTTAGGGGTGGAGGGGCAGGTATGCAGCTGAGGAAGTCCATTGCTTTTCTCTTTTTGCTGTTTTTGGGGTGGTCTTCATCAAATGATGGGGTTTTTGCTGACCCTTGGGGGACGAGTTTCATATTCGGTGTGCTGGTTGACAAAGGGCTCAGATACTTTATTTCCATTTTAGAAGATGAGATCTGATTAAAAAGAGAAGTTTTATGGTGAATAGAAAATCCATTAGTAGCAGTAGTGGTAGTCGATCTTCCTCAACTAATTCCATACATTATTTTTTTCAAGTACTGATGTTTGTAAGTCACTGTTTGCACACACATTTAACTGTTTGCACAGTTACACTGCTTCTGAGAACTAAGCTAAACGTATGGGAACTTTCCTGTGCCAGCTGGTAAGAATTCAAAGCAGTCATTACAAAAATGAGTTAATTGAGTCTTCTGCATTGGCTATATCCTCAATGGGTTGTTAAATAGGGAAAAATGAAGGAAAAATGGATAGAATAAAAACCATGAATACATGCACAATACCCACTACACAGCACTGTAACACATACTTGAGAATATCTTTAATGCTTTTTTTCAATTTAATATATTTAATGAATTGATATATGTCACTAAACATTCAGAATATGTTATAGTACTGTCCCTGAAATGGGAAAGGATGGCTTACAGACTGCATTTTAGTCCTCAAGAATTGATCTGAAGTCAGTGTGTTTCTACCTCCCTCACAACTATTCAACAATTGGATGAAAAATTTTTGGATTTCCAAAAATTTTGGAAAATTGGAGTGAAAAATTTTTTCACTCCATGTTGCACATCAAGAAAAACTTGCCACCAGCAGCCTCAATGGGAAGCAGAGTACTATTTAACTCAATTTTTGGCAACAGTACTATAAAATCCCAGCATTTACTATGTGATACCTCTTCCCTTTAAACCTACAAAATAGCGAGCAATACCTAGAAAAAAACTATGAAACAACCTCTAAACAAGAGCACATGCTGTAGAGTCTCCTGGAAAAAACATTTACAGATCAAGAATTTTCCTCCCAATCATATCCATGTCAGATAATCTGCACGATGGAATTGAGGAAGTAGGTAAGTACTTCTTTTCCTATAGGGGAAGGAGGATTCATTTTACTCATAAAATTCAGAGTATTTAAAGTAAGCTGTCAAAACACAGACTGTGATGGGAAATTTTCATATAGTGCTTGGAGGAAGACTAGGCTAGGGAGCTCCTCCCAAGGAATAATTGTAACTCACACAAGGAAAAGCTTCTAATCAGCTTGCCTTGCCCTACAGAGAACCTGTGGGGCAGACTGAAAACAGAGACCATTCACTACAGCCAGCAGTATAAAACCTGCTTATATCCTTACTGTATGTAAAGCCAGTATGAAAACAAAATTAATTACTAGAAGCTTACCAAACTTTTATCTGCTGCATAGAGGCCTGAGTTACAGGAAGGAGAAAAGCATTCTGAACCACATCTTTTAGGTAACGTGGGTGTGAGTGACTGACTTCTTTGTAGCAAATTCATCAATTTACTTTCTGCGTCAGAGCAAAAGGAGTCCACGTTCTATAAAACAGAACAGATTACAATGCAGAATAGTTGTTTTTAAAAATATGCACGTATTCTGTGCTCACAAACTAGGGCTTTGTTTTCCTCATTATAATGCCACCAGAAGTTTATTTTGTATGAAACCAACAAATCAGAAGTCCATTGCACCTTCCACGGAAGAGAAATACACCTTCCTCTTACTATTAGCAAGAAAAAAAAGAAGAAAATATTTTTTCAGTAAGAAGTGAGAATGCATGACCAAGACATGCTATTTAGCACAACTAGAAAGTTGAAATTAAGAAAAATAAATAAAAGCATCAGGCTGTTGGTTGATATTGAACGTGTTCAGGTGAACAAGACAGTAAATTTTAACTTTGATAGATTGCCTGCTAGCAGGTGAAAACAGGTTTGCTAGCCAGAGAAGATCCTGTGGCACATGCTGAAGACAGGGGCGTTGAGCTGATGGGGAAAAAAGAAAAAGACAGCCAAGACATTCAATAGGTGACTTGCAGAGTCCTCAAAGAAAAGCACATGAACACCTTGCTCCATCTTCAACAAAATCCCCTCTGCATTACTTGTTTTAAGATTCAGTAGCACTAATGGATTTTTTGGTGACAGATTGACACTGCAACAACTAAAATCCATCATTAAACTAACAATGTAAAGATTTACCTCTACCAAACTTCTCAGTTCATTAAACTTCTCTTGAAGATAGGTTTCCTTTGGGCTGGCTGAGAACACAGAAAGGTCTCCAGCCACCAGCATAGGAATTTCTGACCTGAAGTCAGACTGCCACTGAAGGTTGCTTGCAGAGATGAACGACGAGCGAACGACTATATCCTCAATAGCAAAGTGCCTGAGATCAGCCCAGACCTTTATTGCCACCAGATTATAGCTTTCATCAGATAAATAAACCATAGTAGCGAAACCTAAAAGCAAGAAGAAAATGAATCAAACCATAAGCCTTTAAATAAAAGTTGAGTACTGCAATTTGTGTCTATAAATAGAGTCACGCACATCTTGAAAGAGTTCTAACTGATAAATACAAAGCAGCAGCCTGTCAGCCTGCTAACAGATGTTTAATGCTTCATTCATATTCTACACTCTCTCCATACTGATTACAGAAAACAATTCCAAATCTGCATTCCAGTGCTTAAACATGTTCTGTGGTGCTTTTGCTTTTCATCAGAAGATTCTCCACCTGTCTATCTGTGAGCTCCAAGGGCTGGGTTCCACTCAGCCCATGACACTGCACGTAAAAGGAGCCCATGTACATGGCAGATACCAGTGCTGCACACACAGAGCACAGCTGTGTTCCACTAGGTGCATTCTCACACCTAAAGAAAAAGCTTCTTTTGAGCTTGAATACTCAAATACTAAATTCTTGCTCAGCAAGTAAGTCTCTTTTTTTTCTCTAGGAAAACAGTTAACTGCTAGCGTATCATGGTGATGGGCTATATTAGCTATTATATAACTATATATGTAATAGCTGTATACTGGCTGTTATATAACACCAAAGATCTTGACTTTCGAAATAAAAAAACTTAATGGTGATTCAATGCCACGAACATGGTTAACAACGTACCTGTTTTGCTAACAGAAATTACAACTCCAACTAAATCAACTTCGGCACATGGTGGCTGAAAAGAAGGATCCAACAAACTGGTGAATTTTAGAGCCTTTCTTGGAAAGAAAATCTGCAGCAGCATCTTCTTTGAGACCTTAAAAAAAATAAACACCACCACCACACTGATATATAGATTGACACTTTTTAGTGATTTATCTATGCAGTTAAAGCACTTACTGATAGTTGTAGATACTGAGTTTTCTTTGTTGCTGTTAATTGTATGTTAGTTGATTCCGCTCTTCCTTTGGACTGTGATGCAGACAGCTGGTAGATTCTGTACCGACTGCCTTCCTTCAACAGCGAACAAACGTCCAGCGGTGGACGCCAGATGCTCAGTATCACTCCTAGTAACACCAGATTAAGATAGATTAGGTGTGCAACACCAATAGAAAAGCTTTTTAGCAAAATAAAACCAGAAACAGTTATATGCAAGCTGTGGGTAAACTCTTCAAATCTTATTATGTTAGCCAGTTAGTTACCATGTGAAGATGAAAGTTATTTATTTCCCAAGTACTAACCTTTATGTTTTTCTTGCTTTCTGTAGTCTACCACACATAATTTCCACACAGTGGACACATCCCTTTTGGAACAACCGTATTTTTCCTTTTCTGCAGACTCTACAGCCTTCTTGAATTCTTCCTGTATCCGAGTTTGCTTTTTATCATTCATCAGCTGCCTGTGAGCATTCAGAGCTTTCAGCTGATCTTCACTGAGATAACCCTGTAGCCAAGAGAAAACGTATTCAGTATCTTTTTTTTTTAAACTAATCACAAAAAAAAAAAAAAAAAAAAGATCCTGAAAGATCCTGCCAGGATCCTTTAGAGTCTCTTTCCTAAATGCTCTTCTGTTACAGAAAAGTTATTGTTCAACTGACACAGTACTTAGACTCAAAATGTTAGCATAACTGGGGACTCTAGTCTTTACTGGTACTCAGTTGTCTACATATTACATTATACACTGCTCCTAATGGGTAATTAGTGAGAAGCCTGCTTAAGAACACATAACTAAGGTGAGCATTTCATACAACAGGCACGTCTGCCAGTTTAATAAGAAAGATGTTACAAAAAAGCTCTGTAAGAAGAAAAGAAGAGTTGCATCTCCCAGCAGGCTGCTATCTCTGAGCTGACTAATTTACACTAACACACATCGGGAGACAAATGGCAGTAAGATCACGTAAACTCTTCATCGAGCAGCATGCAAGAAAAATGTGTCTTACTAGGTGCATTCAGTTTTCACATACATACATCAAAACAAAGTAATAAAACCACAAATAATAATTTTTAATTGCACTATACTCTGGATTTTGTGTATCCAGAGAAAATCACTTACTCTCTTTTGCAATCTAAGAGATTAA